AATGTTTTTCTAAAAGAATGACTTACAAATTAAGGCAAACGATTTCAAGGCTGTTAATGCCACTATTCTATTGTTTAAAGACCTAATTGAAAAATTTTTTGTCACAGTGTCTTTATAGTCTTAGACTTGTCTCCAGACAAAATTTTCCTGCTGTACTTTGTATATAAAAGCTCCAGCCAGTGGGGTGGAGGAGTTCTTACCTAATTAGTTTTGAAATGTTCAAGGTAATAAGGATGTCTCCTTTTTTCTTTTTGGAATTCTATGGGCAGTTGTGTGTATAAGTGGTAGTAGGTAAGGCAAGATTTTTGCATCCTCTGCTAATCTGTTGTATGCCAGGCTATGTACTTTGTACTGGGAGCATGAAAGAAGTTAGGTTCATCTCTTTTGTAGAATCTAGAACAATGCCCTGATAATGTTCTTTTTCCCTCTGTAGTCTTGCCTAGTTAGTACTCATTTTTATATAGTTGCTTTCTGTAAACTGAAATTGCCATACCTAATTGGAGTCCTCTTGAGTATGCATTGCTTAGTGCTCCTTATGTGTTGGCACACAGCCTCCTCCCTGACTGGGCAGCTGGGGCAGCCGTCATTAATCATTCCTTAATATTTGCTGAGTGTCCACTGGATGAGCGATACTCTCACAGGTGGGTACTTAGCAATGACTCACAACCACCTACCTTGTCCCAGTGTCCCCATAGCAGACCGTAGGGTTGACGTATATGTATATGTGGCTATTTGAGCCTTTAGTTTTCTGGATCACCACAAATTGCAGATGGTTTTAATGTAGAAGGGTTTCTTGTTAAAAGTCACCACATACTGTGAAATTTGTGTATTAACAGACTGCTTTTCCTGTTGACTTGTAGCAGTGAAGTCCAAGCTAGCTGTAACTGCCAGCATCCATGTGTACAGCATCCAGAAGGCTATGCTAAAGGACAGTGGGCCTCTGTTCAATACCGACTATGACATCCTTAAAAGCAACTTGCAGAACTGCAGCAAGTAAGCTCCTTAATGTTCCTTGTGGGCTTCTTTACGAATTGATTTTGTAAGATGTTTACACAGTGGCTGCCTCTTAAGAGTGGGTGCCAAGTCTAGTAAAACCTCATTTATCTTGCAGTGAGACACATGCCTCGTTTTCTTAGGACATCATAAGGTGAAAAATAGCAGCCGCAACCCATATTGAAAATCCCAGTGGACTCCTCATAAATCTATTTCTCATGTATTTATTTTGTCACCACTACCAGAAATTTGTTGTGGCCCTCATTACTCCTTACCCTAGCTTTTGCTTGTCTAAACCCTACCTATCCTTCAAGAGCTAATTTAGATGTTATCCTTCAAAGAACTGTTCCTAATTTGATGTCCCTCTACCTTCCCTCCACAGACAGCTTTTTCTTGCAGTTCCACAGCCAGAATCAGATATTGTATATCCTTTTTTTCTTTCCCAGCGCTGGGAGGTTGGGCTATTAGTGTTTGTGCATTTTGGACCAAAAAAAAAAAAAAACATAGTGTGAGTACCTACTACTTAGTTTAATATGTATTAAACAAGATGATTTGAAATCAGGAGGTATCTGATGGATCTGCCTGATGTGTGATTCATTGCAGAGGAAATATGGTTCCGGCTTCTGGGGTTGATGGTTTGATGGGAAACAAGTGATTACAGTACAGCATGTCAGTATTGTCGTAGGAGTAGTGTAGGCAGATGGGGGAATGGCGTCCTCTGTCACTTCTAGATGGGTAGAGTCAGGGCAAGACAGAGAAGGCTTCCTCAAGGTTAGGGTATCTTAAGACCGTAGTTACTAGTTGTGTGACTGTGGGCAAATTATTTAACCTCTGTCCTTCAGTTTCTTTATCAGTAAAGTGAAGCTGCTACAATGGTGCTACCTACCCTTAGGGTTGGAGGGGAATTAAATGACTAGCATTTGGCACATAGTAGTATTTAATGATAGCTATGTTTTAAAGGATACACAACAAAAGAAGGACCCAAGAGCCAGAGATAAAAGGAAAAAAGCGAAAGCATCCCTGTGGATGTAACTACTCCTAGCTACTGCTGTTTTTCCGCTGTCTCAGTTACTCTTTTCTCATTGCTGGGACAAATACTGACACCCAAATTAAGGAAGGAAACATTTAGCTCACAGTTACTGGAGGTTTCAGTACACATTCAGCTGCCTGCAAGACAGAGTGGCAGATAGCAACG